TTGCAGCTGCCTGTTCTTGGCCAAGCAGTCGGCTCAGCTCGCTCGGCCGAGACCAGGTGCCGCGGAGGGAGGAGCAACGCCGTGCGTCCTCCCGGCGACGTGCCTACGTAGCCAATCGGCGGCCGCGCAGCCGTCCGAGTGAAAAAAAGTACCCGTGGTCTCAGCGCAAGCGATCTACGCATGACGGAAGTGACGGCAAGCTCTACGCATGACGGAAGTGACGGAAGGGACAATCTTGGAAGGGGCGCGACACGAGCGCGAGGCGGCGCTGTGGAGACTGGAGAATGGCGTTTGCAGGGAAAGCTGAGGTTGGACTGGAGCGTCGCCCCGTTCGCCGCAGCTAGTCCATTCGAGCAGCGGGGTAGAACACGACCCTGCCTTTCCCGAGGCGTTCTTTCTAGCCCAGACGTGGCTCCCCGGGAGCCTCACGCTGCCTCTCATTACTTAGCCCCTGCTCGTTTTCTCCTTAACTCTGTATGTTCGTAGCACCTTGTTCAGGTTGCTAACTCTTGTCGGTAATAACTTAGTGTCTCACCTTGCCCAGCACCCTCTTTTGGCAAGTGAGCCCGAGTCCCAAAGAGGAGAAATGATTCTCTAAGGCTGCGGAGCAAGTTAGAACCAGCTGAGGACGCCTCACGGGGTTGAAGTGGAAAAGTACTTGTTGAGGTATCAGAATATCTGCCGTGTCCTCAATATGTGCCAGGTCAGTGGTCCACAAAACGTGTTTCTGGACCGGCAGCGGCCACATGGCCTGGAAAGTGGGTAAGAGATGTAAATTCTCGAACCTCCTCAGAAATTCGGGGGGCGGGCCTGTACCCCGCGTTTAGCGCCCTGCTACCCAGTCAGGCGAGACCGAGGCACACCGCTGTGTGCAGGGAACTCACGGCGGCAAAGCAGGCTGCCCAGAATCGTTCAACTAGTACCCGGGTTTGTCTGACTTTAAAATTTGTATTTTTAACCCTAAGCTTTAAGTTTTAAAGAATAACAATAAGGCCCTAACGTCACCGGTTTGGTTCAGTGGATGGAGCGTTGGCCTGCGGACTGAAAGGTCCCAGGTTCGATCCCGGTCAAGGGCATGTACCTGGGTTGCGGGCACATCCCCAGTGGGGGTGTGCAGGAGGCAGCCGATCGATGTTTCTTCTCGTTAATGTTTCTAACTATCTCTCTCTTCCTCTCTGTAAAAAAATCAATAAAATATATTTTTTAAAAAAAATATTTTTTTAAAAAAAGCGTAACAATAAGGTCAAAACAGCCTTTGCGTACCTGTTAACATTCACTGCAGTTCTCCACCTTAGGTGAGCAACAGAGTCTCCTGCAGAGCTTTTCCAGAATTCCGCAGCTGGTGTTTCCCACGCAGTCTAACCCCAAGATCCTGTGGAGGTTGCCTGGGGCTGGACCCCAGAGGCGCTATTAGACATTACTCTGTCTGGACCTGACCTGGGTGTGCACCTTTACCCCAACTTTCCCACGGATCTTGTTCTTTTTGGCCCTCTTTTCTGAACCCCTTTCCCTCCCATATGCAAACTATGGTGAGGCCTAACAAGCTCAATCCGGTTAGAAAGTGCACCATCGGTATAAAACTTCTTTTACAGGCTCCCGGGTGGTCTGCAGCACCAGAGGCAAACTGACCCCTCTCAGAGAGTATTGGAAGGCTAGCCCATGGTCAGATACAAAGAAGGTAAGTTTTCAGTCTGCTGGGTTTGATGATATAGGTTTATTTTGTAATGGGAATTAAGGAAGACAGCTCGGAAGGAAGAGTAGGAGTTATGAAGGGGAAGATGGGGGAAGAGGAGAGAACATTTTAGAAGATAAAACCATGAGAGTTAATGGTAAGGAGTAAAGCCACAAATGAGGAAGAAAAGGGAGGGTCATGTTGAGGAATTTGTTTTTATCCCAAAAGGGAGGAGGAAGCCACTGAAAGGACTTCACTTTCCTGGTTTGCATCTTAAGCAAGATCACTCTGGCTCCTGTTTGGAGGACTGGATCAGAGTGAGACTAACGACTGTGAAAGTTATTCAGGTGAGATTTAGTGGGGCACTGAAGATGGAGAAAACTGGAATAAAATGGAATTAATTTTTTTAACTTAAAAATTGTTTAAGTTGCTGTAAAATATACATAACAAAATTTACCACTTTTCAATATATAGTTGTGGCACAGTGAAGTCTATTCACTTTGTTTTGCAGCCATACCCACCATCCGCTTTCAGAACCTTTCATCTTGCAAAAGTGAAACTCCATACCCTCTAAACTGTTAACTCCCCATTTTTCCCATCCCCCAAACCTTGGCAATTACCATTCTACTTTCTGTCTCTGAATTTGACTAAGTACCTTATAAGAGTGGAATCACATAGTATTTGTTCTTTTCTGATTGGCTTATTTTGTAGCATAACATCTTCAAGGTTCATACATGTAGCATGTGTCAGAATTTCTTTTTTTTTAATATATTTTTATTGATTTTAGAGAAGAAGGGAGAGTGGGAGGTAGAAACATCAATGATGAGAGAGAATCATCGATAGGCTGCCTCCTGCATGCCCCCCACTGGGGACTGAGCCCACAACCCAGGCATACCCTGACTGGGAATCGAACCTAACCTCCTGGTTCATAGGTCAACGCTCAACCATTGAGCCACGCTGGCTAGGCCAGAATTTCCTTTTTAAGGCTGAATAATAACTTTGTTAAATTTTGTTAAATATCCATTGAATGTATATACCACATTTTGCTTACCTACTGAGGGACACTTGGGCTACTTCCCCCTTTTTGCTATTGTGAATAATTTGTCTATGTACATTGGTGTACAAATATCCATCATGTCCATGCTTTCAGTTCTTTTGGTGTATAACCAGAGTTGAATTGCTGGATTACATGACAGTTCTATTTTGAAGCTTTTGAGTAACCTTCATACTGTTTGTACCTGAGGAAATTTTTCCAGTGATTTTTATTTTATTTTATTAGAGAATGGAAGGGAGGAGGAGAGACAAAGAGAGAAAAACATCGATGTGAGAGAGACACATCAATTTGTTGCCTCTCACAAGTGCCCCAACAGGGGTGGGAACCGAGCGTGCATCCGGGTATGTGCCCTTGACCAGAATCAAACCCACGACCATGCAGTCTGCAGGCAGATACTCTAACCACTGAGCCAAAACGGCTAGGGCTCCATACTGTTTTCTATAGCCGTTGCACCATTTAAATTACTACCAACAGTGCACAAGAGTTCCAGTTTCTCCACATTCTTGCCAACACTTGTTTTCTCTATTTTTAAAGCAAGTGCTGTGAAGTGGTATCTCATTGTGCTTTAAATTTTTATTTCCTTACTGATTAGTGATGTTGAGCATCTTTTCATGTGCTTGTTGCCTGTTTGTATATCTTTGGAGAAATATTTGTTCCAGACTTTTGCCCACTTTTGAGTCTGGTCATTTGGTTTTTTGCTGCTGAGTTTTAGGAGTTCTGTATGTATTCTGGGTATTTAATATCTTATCATGTATGTAATTGGCAAATACTTTCTCGCGTTCTGTGGGTTGCCTTTTTACTCTGTTGATATTGTCTTTTTATATAACAAAGCTTTTAATTTTGATGAAGTCCAGTTTGCATAATTTGTTGTTGCCTGTGCCTTTGGTGTCATGTACAAGAAATCATTGCTATATCCAGTGTCATCAAGCTTTTCGCCTATATTTTTCTCAGAGTTTTAGTTTTAGCTCTTATGTTTAGGTCTTTGATCCATTTTGAGTTAATTTTAAAAATTTATTTTCAGTTATTGTTGACTTACAATATTATATTCATTTCAAATGTACAACATAATGCCTAGATACTTATATTCTTTATGAAGTGATCATCCTGATAAATCTAGTGCCCATCTGGCACCATACATAGTTATTGCAATATTATTGACTATATTCCCTATGCTGTACTTTACATCCCCTTGACTATTTTTATAACTAGCAATTTGTGCTTCTTAGACAACTAATCCCTTTCAGAATTAATTTTTTTAAAAATATATTTTATTGATTTTTTTACAGAGAGGAAGGGAGAGGGATAGAGAGTCAGAAACATCGATGAGGGAGAAACATCGACCAGCTGCCTCCTGCACATTCCCCACGGGGGATGTGCCCGCAACCAAGGTACATGCCCTAGACCAGAATCGAACCTGGGACCCTTGAGTCCGTAGGCCAACACTCTATCCACTGAGCCAAACTGGTTAGGGCCAGAATTAATTTTTTAATAAGGTGTTAGGTCAGGGTCCAATTTCATTCTTTTCTAGGTGGATATCCAGTTTTCCCACCACCATTTGTTAAAAAGACTTTCCTTTCCCCATTAAGTGGTTTTGACACCCTTGTTGAAAATCATTTTGATACTGAACAAAGTCAGTGGGTCCCTTGCCTGTGGCACCCAGAGAAGCCAAAATCTGAGGCAACAGGTTTTTCACAAAAAGAAGGAAATTTGTTAGGCAGCCAGACAAGGCTCAAATCAGTCTCTCAGATCCAGGGTTCAGGGCAGGTTTTTAAGGGATTAGGAGCAAGTTCTAATTAATTAGAACCTTGGAACTTTGCCGCTTATGGTAAGGGTTCCAGTGTTCAAGTTCCTGTCATGTCCCCATCCTTTGGTTCTGGGTGCAGGTTGAGGATAGAGGTGGCATGTGTGCAGTGCTCTTTGTAAACTAACTCAAGGATTGCATTAATCATGGATCTGCTTTAAGGGAGCAGAACCAGTGTTAGGCTGGTCAGATGATTTATGTGCTGTTTGAATTTGACCATACTAATATGTGTGAGGGTTCATTTCAGGGCTGTCTATTCTGTTCCACTGGTGTATTTGTCTTTTTGCCAGTACGACAAGGTTTTGATTAACATAGCTTTGTAGTATGTTTTGAAATCAGAAAGTGTGAGTCCTGTGACATTATTCTTCTTTTCCAAAATGTTTTGGTTATTGGGGGTTACTTAAGATTTCATATGAATTTTAGGATGAGTTTTTCTATTTCTGTAAAAAAAAAAAGTCACTGGGATTTTGATACAGATTGAAATGAACCATAGATTGCTTTGGGTAGTATTGACATCTTAGCAATATCAAGTCTTCCAGTATGTGAAAGCAAGATGTTTTTCCATTTATTTGTATCTTCTTCAGTTTTGTTCAGTGATGTTTTGTAGTTTTCAGTATATATAACTTTCACCTCCTTGATTTTTATTCTTAAGTATTTTTTTCTTTTTGATGCTATTTTATTTTGTTGTTACTCTTCACCCAAGGATATTTTTTCCACTGATTTTTAGAGAGAGTGGAAGAGAAGGGGAGATACAGAGAGAGAAGCATTGAAGTGAAAGAGACACATTAATTGATTGCTTCCCACACCTACCTTGGCCTGACCCTGGACGGGGGATGGAGCCTGAAACTGAGGTACATGCCGTTGACCAGAATAGAACTCGTGACCCTTTAGTCTGTGGGCCAACACTCTTAGACACTGAGAAAAACCAGCTAGAACTATTTATTTATTTATGTATGTATGTATGTATGTATTTATTTATTTTAATGTTTTTATTGATTTTTTTGAGAGACAGGAAGAGGGAGAGATAGAAACATCTATCAGCTGTCTCCTGCATGCCCCCTACTGGTGATCGAGCCCGCAACATGGGCATGTGTCCTGGCTGGGAGTCGTACTGGTGACCCCTTGATGTATGGGACAATGTTCAATCCACTGAGCCAAACTGGCCGGGCTAATGCTATTTTAAATAAAATTATTGTCTTAATTTCCATTTTGTACTGTTCACTGTTATTGTTTAACTGAGTTTGTATCCTGCAACTTTGCTGAATTCATTTATTAGTTTAACAGGTGTGTGTGTTCTTTAGGGTTTTGTACGTCTATGATCATATCATCTACAGAGATCATTTTATCTCCCAACCCCCCAAAAGAATTAATTCTTTGTCATTATGTGAAGCTCTGACCTTAACTCTGAAATTCATTAAATTTGTGTTTTCATGGGAGGAGGGTGTAACAGAAAGTCATATTTTTAAGGTTCCTCAGATTCTACACTCCTGCCCAAGGTCATACAGCAAGTTTGAGATTCAGCAGGCAACCAAAATATGATCTGTGTTTTCCTCTTAACTTTCTAGGAGCAGAAAAATCCAAGTGGAGGAGCTATGGTGGAGAGCCCTTGCCTAGTAGGTTATCTGTGGGACTGTGCCTTGTTTCCTTTTTGCTTTCACCCACGGTTTTCCTTCTCTTAGGAAGTAGGGAATCTGGCTGAATCCCAGTGCATCCATCTGGTTAAAAAATAAACATACTGGCCAAAACCGGTTTGGCTCAGTGAATAGAGCGTCGGCCTGCGGACTGAAAGGTCCCAGGTTCCATTCCGGTCAAGGGCATGTACCTGGGTTGCGGGCACATTCTCGGTGGGGGATGTGCAGGAGGCGGCTGATCGATGTTTCTCTCTCATCGATGTTTCTGACTCTCTATCTCTCTCCCTTCCTCTCTGTGGAAAATCAATAAAATATATTAAAAAAAATAAAATAAACATACTGGGTGGTCTAATATGGAAAAGAACTTGATGAAGTCAGATTTGGAAGTGAGAGAGACATTTGAAATTAGGAAAAATTTGCCTTTGTCAGATTGGGGCTTCTTAGCACCACTCATATGATCTCAGCCTTGGAGTGAGTATAGCCATATCCCTGAGATCTTGTTCCAGAGCACCATAACTCACAATAAAGTGAGTTGTAATCTTTTTGCTAGTGGAGGGTCTTGCCTTCAATTTGTAAGAAAAGTGGCACCTGTGAAGCTCAATAAAGCAAAGCGCAATAAAATGAGGTGTCCTCTGTGTCTTCCCAGCTGAATGCCTCTATACTATTGCCAGCTGCTTGTAGTAGGGTTTGGAGAGGAAGGTGTGCTCTAAGAGGTAAAGGTTGCGGCCCCAGACATCATAGATGGAATCACAGAAATCAGTTCTGAAGGGAAAACCATGAACCATGGAAAGAGCATCTGTTGAGAGGTAGAGGTCTGAATTTGTCTCTTGGTTCTCTTTTCTTTTTGCCTACTATAAATATTTTACTAGCACTTTGAGTCCTTAGTAGGTGTTAGCTTTGCTAAATGTTGTACATACATTTGTTTTCCTTCAAAAGCTGGCCAGGAAAGAGGGCGGTGTGTTGGCATCTCCTCCTTAGTCCTCTGCCACGACCGGGGGGATGTTCCCTGCTCAGGAGGAGGCTGACAGGAGGGTGTTTGTGGGGAATTTAGAGGCCCGAGTGTGGGAAGAGATCCTTTATGAGCTGTTCCTTCAGTTTTTTATAGGCTGGGCCATTAACCAGAGTGACTATATGAAAAGATAGAGAAGGAAAACCAAAGTCTTTTGGATTTGGCTGCTTTAAACACCCAGAATCGGTGTCTTATGCCATAGCTTTGCTGAATGGAATTCGTTTATATGAAAGACCAATTAATGTGCAGTATTGATTTAGGAATTCTCTTCTGAACCAGCTAACCAGAGTTTTGAGAGCTGTGTTAAGATCAATTCACACAGCTACAGAAATGAAGAAGCCATGGCAGTTCTTTCTTTCCCGTGCAGTTCTTTCCAACTAATAATGCAGCTTTACCTCAAGAATATTTTTTCTTTCAGAAGATGCAGTGTAATGCATGTAATCCAGCACTGCAGCTTCCTTACTGTGAGATGACAGCATTACTTCCTAAGAACACAGCTATGCCTCCTTCACTAAACCATGTTCCAAATCTAGAGGCTGGACCCAGCCCTTATGAATGGACTCATCAACAACCACATGACCCTGTCCTTTACCAAATTAATAAATGAAAGAGGCAAAAACAAACTAGTGATAGAAGCACAGAAAACATTAGAGAAAGTGAATATGGCCAAAAGTTCCGAAAATGTAAGAAGAAGAAAAGATACTAGTATTACCTTCAAATGAATTTATCTACACTGGTATTTATCCTTAAGGAAAGAAGAAAAAAAGCCTGTATTCTACCAAGTAACAAATGTTATGGCTTTCTTACGTTTTTTGAAATCTTATATAATAAAAGGCTAATATGCAAATCAACCAAATGACAGAATGACCGGTTACTATGATGTGGACTGACCACCAGGGGGCAGAAGCTCAACACAGGAGCTTCCCCCCGGTGGTCAGTGTGCT